GGTAAGTCTGGCTACATGCTTGCCCCTGCCTTTTTATTCACTATCGCCTGAGCTGTGAACCGCCACAGTGACCACAGGGACTTGTGTTTGACTGACATTGTGATTCGTGAATTTGATTATATCTCTCATTTCTGTTCATGGTCATTATGCTAAGATCTTTCATCCTGCCCTGCTGAGGCTCGTGGAACCACGTTTAGGCTCTTCTTTTAACATTGCCAAGTAGGCTGGGGCAGAATCCTGTCCTTGCCTTCCCCTACAAAAAGATGCTCCAGTCTTGTGTGGCAGAGTTTGGCCCCAGACCCTGGCCAATGATTGGTTCATTCTGGCAGATAGCAGCAAGGTCAATACCTCAGGTCTTTCCATAGGACAGGATGCCCATTGCTGAGAAAATACGGGATGAGTCCCAGTCCAACTGGAGTCAGCATGATCACTTACCTCCTTTCATTAAATATCCACGTCTGCTTTCACTCCCAAAGACGCGTAAACATTACTATTAAGGCTAGTGGTACATGTGGTGATTTTATCACTAGAAACACGGATACTGACACGTATCCTAATTGTCTTTCTCAGTGCCATGAGAGCATGCCTAGCAAGAAGCAACTTACGGGACAAAGGGCTTATGTTGGCTCGTGGCATAGGTTAGAAGGCAGCTGGGGGTGGCTGGCTGCAGTCAGGAAGCAGAGAGAGAGAAATGCTGGTGCTAGGCTCACTTCCTCCTTTCCAATGGTCCCAGGCCCCGGCCCATGGGATGGTGGGACCTACATTCAAGGTAGGCTTTCCTGTCAGTTCAGCCCCTCTGGAAATCCCTTTGCAGATGTTGCCAGAGGCTCGTGTTTTAGCTGATTCTAAATTCCACAAGCCAGGGCAGCATCAAACCAGGAAGAAGTGGGAGAATGCTGGAGGGGAGGGTGCGGTGCTCCTAGCCTTGACTGCACTAAACCCCTGGGAACGTTGTAAACGCAGTGATGCCATACGATCGGGTCATAGCACACATCCACCTGAAGGAGTTTTAGAAATGGAGTCTTTCCTACCTTTAGTGTGTACCTTGGACTTGAGTTCTAGACCTCCGAAGTGTGTGTAACTTCATCCTCTGCCACCACTGTGAGGGAGCTGGGATGCGCACTACAGCTAACTTTCTGGAAGACATCGGGGTCATCCCTAGGAGTCAGTCGTTCACTGTGGGGCTTGTATGGTGAGAAGTAAATGCCTAAAGCTCCCAGCCTGCCAGATGCGCACACAGAGGGTGCTCTGAATGACACAAATCCAGCTGGAAAGGGCTGACAGTGGCGCAGGCCATTGTTAACAAGCCAACAGCATATGATCCCCAAACACTTCCAACAATCAATGCAAATCAATGCTAAAGACTCCTGTGGTTTATAGAGACAGGCCACCAGCTTGGCATAATTCTCAAAAGCCCACCAATGGAATTAGGGCTCCTGTAGACTGAGTGTCATGTTCGCTGCCCACTCTGTCTAAGACAGCGATTCAGAAGAAAGATACCTGAGTTCCCTGCTGTGTAAGTCACTGGCAGGCCGCTGCCAAGAACAATGTAAGAACCAAGAATGCATTTTAACCGCTTGATAAATGTCACAGGGTCTGTTGCACAGATACTGGCTTCTGTCATCTGCATAAGCTTTGCCTTACTCATTCAACTCAAGAAGAGGTGACAACCCAGAAGCTCACCAGCACACACATGCGTGCGCGCATATATGCACACACACACACACACCACACACAGGAGTCATGCTAAATGTCTGAGCTCATCCCTCACAACTTTACTGTGATAAGTCTTTAGGAGCTCACAGGTGTGCTTACGGTACCTGCCATTTGACAAAAGGTAGCAGCCACAGCGTTTGAGTGTACATTTATGGCTCTCTCTATAGCTTCTGAGGGATTGTAAAAAAGTTCCTGAGTATCAGGCACACATTTTACTATCCTAACAAAGCTTAGGAGCTGTCTGGCTGTGTCCTAGCATTGAAGACCATTCCCGGGTGACAGTACCAGCAGTGTCACTAACACCCAGTAGCAGCCATCAAGTTCACTGTGAAAACAGCGCCTTGTCCTACTCTTTGGCCGAAGGAGAGCAGGCTATAGAAGAAGCTTTCACAACTTCATGTCATATTTTTAATGTTTAATAAGTTGAAGTCCTGTGAAACAAAGTACATGTTTTTACACACATGGAAAGATGCGTTGACATGGTTTGCCACATACGATAATGAATAAATATGCCAAGAACTGCATGTGTGCTCGTGAAACTTATTGCGTGATACTTCACACATGTCTGAGTGAATCTGGGTGGTCTGGTGGATATCCACACACAAACACGTTTTGTTCCTGTGTTATTAATACTTTGGTTTTTATTAGCCTTATTAATGGCTTGGTTTTTAAAAGGAAAAAAATTCAGGCAATGTCAATAACCAGAATATTATTTCCCAAACTGGATCCCTTTTCATTAGTGTTTCATTTCAAACAACCTGAAAGAAAGAGAAGGCTGAGTGTCTGTCACTTGTCACTGTCCGCTTCATGACACTGGAGAGACTTTGGCATTGTGTATGCATCTTTGTTTTTTACGTTTCAACTGAGGCAATGTCTGAGAGAGAAAGGTGTTCCGAATTCCACCAGCAAGGGTTTTTCTCAGCGTCCACACAATGTTGATTTGTTAAAAGTGTTCCAGACAGGAAAGCCCCACATAGAAGAAGAGCGAAGACATAGGTGTGTTGCTGGCTGGGAATTCACAAAAGGCTGACTGCTGTGGCCTCAGAGGAAATCACCAACGCCTATCTCCTAGGACAGCAGTTTTCAACCTGTGGCTCTCGACCCCTTTGGGGCTTGCATATCAGATATTGACGTTACAGTTCATAATGGTAGCAAAATTACAGTTATGAAGTGGTAGCAAAGTAATTTTATGGTCCGGGGGTCACCACAACATGAGAACGGAAATAATGGGTCGCAGCATTAGGAATGTTGGGAACCACTGTCCTAGGTAAAGGGGAACCCCATCTTGCTTGGCAGCTCCATGTTCCATACAATGTCCCCACCCCCATCCTCTGGCTGAACTGAGCCCTGGGCTGCTTGAGACCTACAGAGTTTCTTGGCTGGGCTGTTTTCCTTTCCATCTCAACTATGACCTCTGCCTCGTGGAGAAGGGAGGAGGGGAGAGGAGAAGACAGAGTGAGAAAGAGAAACAAGGAGACACAAAAAGGAGGGAGGGGGCTGGGCTGGCCACTGGAAGACTTCTGTTTGAAAAACACCCTTTGGTTTCAGAGAAGGGACAATATCATCTGATTTATTTAAGCCAGACTTTAAAGGGAGGGGGTCCAGGCCCGGGGAAGTGGGGGAGGGTTCCTTACCCTGAGTGATAGAGGGTGGCAAAATTCACCCTGCATGCCTGTACCCAAAGCCTTCCACTTGGAAGTCCCTGGAAAAGCCGACCCAGGCAGGCAGGAGCCTGGGGTCTACAAGCGGTCGTTTGCTCCTTAAATTAGTTTTAAATTTTTTTTTTAAAGAAGAAAGCAAGTTGCTTTGGGGTACTGGATAAAATGTGGTCTTCCCGGAAGGCGGCACAGTGGCTGAAGTAGCATTAACTTCCCTGCTGGAGCCAGGCAGCAGCGGAGGGGCTACATGGAGCACTGGGACAGCCTTCTGCAAGTGGGCCTGCTCTCCACACAACACTGTTGGGCTGGTGGAAGTGTTGGATGTCCCCACAAGCAGAGAAGCCAGGTCTTTGGTGAGGGGGCAAGAAGTACCATACATAGTAGCCCTTCCAGCTTCCCAGCACAGTGGTCTCAGCCCGCGGGGGCCCCACCTCGTGGCCCGCCCAACAGCCCCCCCTGGAGCTGCTGATGCTGAGGACTCTCTGGCCCCAGGTTCAACTTCAATAAGACCTAGCCGGCCATTGATCACAGGACTCATCTGACAGCCATGCTCACGCCAGGCCTAGTTGAGCCCTGGTCACCTGGGAATAGGTTCAAAGGCAAGGAAGCTGTAAACCACCTCCAGGCCCCAGCTAGAGCGGCCTGGCGAACAAAGAGACCCCAAGTACTTCAAACGTACAGGCGCTCAGCGTCCAGATGGCAAAGGACCGGGGTTGTGATGTCTGTTCACCAAGGCCTGGTCCAATGTTTTGCATCCTTGAGCCCTCCTGCCTAAGCTACCCACCAGTGCACAGGGCAGGGGACTCCGGGCAGGGTCAGACTCTCCCTATTCTCTTGTTCTGGATCCACCAACCGCCTGCAAATGAAGCAGAGTGCAGAGACTGAGGCTGAGCTCCAAGCCGGGACCCAGCACTCAGGGCAAGGCCAGGCAGGCGGGCGTGGCGGGCACCCGGCGCTCCCGCAGAGGCTCGCTGTGGTACCTAACCTATAAAACATTTAGGGGGAAGGTTCTGAAAAGGTGTCTAGGACCTACGTTTCCCAGAAAATCGGAATTAAAAAGGGGTCTCCAACTCGCATTCTGGACCGAGCGGGACGGCATCTCCATGGATCCTAGAGGCTAGATCGTGGGGATGGACATCTCTGCCAGCACACGAGTATCGTCTCTGCCCAGGGTCGCGGCTCTCTGCCTGCACAGCTCCACTCACTGCGGGCAGGATCGCGTTGCTGACGGCGAGGTCTCAGTGCGCGCCTCAAGAGGCTCCCAGCTGCGTCCTTGGTCCACAGAGCACATCTGGGCTTGGACTCGCCTCCTCCACCCCTCATGGAGACCCTGAACCCTGGCAGGGCCAAATCTGCTCCACGAGACTCAGACAAAGCCAGGCCGGGTTGAGCCTAGGGTCAGCACCGTTGATTAGCCGCGGGTGCCTTAGGTAGAAGTGCAGACTGCACGCGTGAACCCGGCCTCAGAGATGCCGGCCACAGTCAGGGCCGAAAAAGAGCAGACAAAACTGAAAGTGCCGCCCCCCCCAGGAGGGGGGGGAGGACGGCGAAGGCCCCAGAACTTGTCCTGCCCCTGGCCACCGTGGCCAATCAGCGCGCCGCCCTTGCTCCTGACAGCTATTTAGCAACCCAGCCGGGATAGAGTTTCCAAAAAAGTTAGAATAACTTCCTCTCCCGGAGACCTCGGTTTTGCACAAGCCGGCCTCGAAATCAGAGACTTTGCAAGCGACCCGGGAGCTTGTGCTCCGCGGCCGCGGGCTTGGCCAGTGGCGTGCGCTCGGCGCCCCCCAGCCCCACGCGCGCCGGGCGGGCGCCATGGAGGAGGGCTCCAGCTCGCCGGTGTCCCCCGTGGACAGTCTGGGCACCAGCGAGGAAGAGTTGGAGCGGCAGCCCAAGCGCTTCGGCCGGAAGCGGCGCTACAGCAAGAAGTCGAGCGAAGATGGCAGCCCGACCCCGGGCAAGCGCGGCAAGAAGGGCAGTCCGAGCGCGCAGTCCTTCGAGGAGCTGCAGAGCCAGCGCATCCTGGCCAATGTGCGCGAGCGCCAGCGCACCCAGTCGCTCAACGAGGCCTTCGCCGCGCTGCGCAAGATCATCCCCACGCTCCCCTCTGACAAGCTCAGCAAGATCCAGACGCTCAAGCTGGCCGCCAGGTACATAGACTTCCTCTACCAGGTTCTGCAGAGCGACGAGATGGACAATAAGATGACCAGCTGCAGCTACGTGGCTCACGAGCGTCTCAGCTACGCCTTCTCCGTGTGGCGCATGGAAGGAGCGTGGTCCATGTCCGCCTCCCACTAGCGCCGCGCCACCCACCTCCGGACCCGCACGCCAGGGTAGGTGCTGCTTGTGATGGGCACCCATGATGCGCGGGTGGGTTGGCGGGCGGGCCAGAGCATCCCTCCTTGTGGAGATCCCTCAGGCTACGGGACCGGGATGGGGTGAGTTTCTCCACCCTGCAAGGATTGGCGGGAGATGGGAAAACTCCCCGGTCCCACAGGCACACCCGAGGCCTTTTGCCAGGGGCATCAGTTCAGAACCCCCAGACCAGTAGTCCCCAAGCAGAGTCCAAATACACTTCTTAGAGAAATGGTCACACTTTCCATTCTTGGTGGATGGGTGTCTGTGGATGACCCTGTGGGGAGCGACTGTCAAAACGTCTTCTGTAGGCCAGCAGAGGCCGGGAGATACTATGCTGGCTGGGTTGTGGCAGACTTTTTTTGCTTCGCGCTCATTCTGCATGGCCACAGAGCCCACGCGTGGTGCAGACAATCAGCTTTCAGACTGCAGTACCGGCCAGTGCCTTGGGTATTAAAGCATTCGAGCCCTAGCCGGCTCAATAGGTACAATGATGTAGGCGGGTGGCATCGCAGAGTTTACCTGAGAAGGCAGGAAGGTTTCTGTCCTGCGTTGGTGCTCCAGGGTCACATCCATGGGAAGCAGATCGCTGGGCGCCAGGAGCACAGGAGACCCCAAGCACTCAGGCCTGGCTGGATGCAGCCAGCCGCTTGGAGTCGCTGGCTGCAGGCAGGCAGGTGGATCTTACATAGTTAGGCGCTTAACAAACCAGCCTTGAACTTGTAAAGACACAGAGGGGTCCTGCCCCGCCCGCGTTTCAGCAAGGGATCTAGTAAGGGTAACGGGTCTGAGAATGGGGTGAACAGGCAGTGCGCGCTGGGCCCTGCCCTGGGAGAAGGCACCTGAACCCTCGAAGGTGTGTTTCTCTCTGGAAGAACATTTAGGATCTCCTGCACTCTCTGCCTAGCAGACTCTAGGCAGCCCCAGAGGCAGGGTCTTCCAGGCAAGACTGAGGGCTGAGTTCTCTGGAGGCCTTGCTGCACAGATCTTTTGGGGGAAAGCGGTGTAGAAAATCCTTCCTACTTAATTTGCCTAGTTTTTCACACATCTTGCGATATTTCTTTTAAATGAAAGTTTCCACTTTATACAGAAGAAAGTTAGGTGAATCAAGATCAGCATGACTACCCATCGGCCTAAACATCATTTCTACTTTTATTATTTTATATCTTCAAAGTTGCTGCTCTGGCTACAAAACAGTGGTCTCATACAATGAGCTTTCTTTCTTTCTTTCTTTCTTTCTTTCTTTCTTTCTTTCTTTCTTCCTTCCTTCCTTCCTTCCTTCCTTTCTTTCTTTCTTCTCTCCATCCTTTCTTTCCTCCCTTCTTCCTTCCTTCCTTTCATCCTTTATTCCTATCACTGAAAATTGTTTTGATGAAATAAGCCCCTGGAATAATGACCGTTTTATTGTTTCTAAGAGGACCTTTTAACAGAGTCGTTTGTGGGAATCTTCCCCTGTGTTTGTCAAAAACAGATGGGAATTGTCTCAACCACGTATTTCTCTAAGAAAGAAAGTTTGGGTTGGCTGAGTGCTCGAAGCTACAGAGGGAGAATACATTAATTCTGGTTTTTGCTGCCTAAATTATGAGTGTCCATTAGTTAACTTCCACTCACTCTCCATACCACCATGGTTTACAGCACATCCGAGGAAGCAAGAACAGATGATATGTGCCATTTTTAAAATATACACAAACATAGCATTTGTTTAAGAAAAATGTCAACAGACTTATTGTTAAGATAGCCCTTCAGGTTATTGAAAGCCAACACCTGATGCAAGAATTTAGTAAGGACATTTAAAATTCATTTTAATACATGGGCTTACTTCAAAAATTGACTCAATCACATATTGCAATCAAGTATGTTTTAAAATTCAAATGCAGCATCTGTAATAAACAAAGGAAAAAATGCTAAGAGCTTATTTGGACAAAAAGGCATTAAACCATCAGACAACACATTGAGTTGGAAAGCAAGATACAGGCGTGTTTACTTTCATATAATCAAATAGAATGACTAGTCAGGTAGGTTGGTGTCTGAACACACATCGGATTCTTTTCAAGGAAATGCACCCATGTTTGATACACTTATGCTGGACCTGCCTTGGTCTAATTTATTACCTGTTGTTAAGGAACAGTTTGTGTTCTTGTTCTTAACCCATTCCTCTTAAGGCGCATAAATGCAATTGTAATTACTTTAATCTCCTGGAAATGTTGCTAATTGTAATTGGTTATTTCTTCGTAACATTTCCAAGAAACATTAATTATCTACCTCAGTGGGGGGGGGAAACCCTAGAAGTTTTGGTGAAGTGTATACACTTTTAATATCTATTGTGACATATTTCTACCAACAACACAAAGCCTAAATTGCCCTTGACTGTGGAGAGAAACATGGCCCAGCTCATGAAGTCTAGCTTATATTAAAGTTTATCCCATCTGTCCTTGGCTGGGTGTTCAAAAACTCAATTAGACTAAGTGTCAGGGCTCTTCCCAGTCAGCCCAACTCAACTAACTGAGAGAAGTCTCAGAAGAGGCTTGGAGTGTTTGTGAGATGCTATAGGCCTCTGAGCAGGGTCGCTGTCCCCTGGCCTGTGACAGGGAAAGGCAGTCACTTCTCATAAACATTATTTATTCTGCTGCCTTTATCATGGTCTCCCGTTCGGCTGACTCTGCATGGCTTTTCAACAGTACTTTCCCTTCTTTCTTCCTCTTCCCCTGAGCACTTTTGGCTCCTATGGACAATGTGTGTGTCCCCCTCACCTTCCAACCCATGTCAGCATTTCCTCTCCTCTGGAAGCTTGCTTCATGGAGGTGTTTGCTGTATCCGGGGAGCTAGCTAGTCTCAAAAGAAAACTCTTCCTGGAGAGGAACGGAAATGCAGAATCCCAGCGGAGCTTTTGTTTGTGGAATAGACCAGACCGAACAGCTGAGTTACCTGAAGCTCAAGTGAGATTGTCTTACAAAATTCCCTGCAGTAAGAGCTGCTGGGGGAGCTGAACTTGTAAAGATCAGCAGCGTTTTCCTGCCTCGCGTCTGGCTGGTGTGGGGGCTGGAAGAGGTTGGAGTGGCTTTTTGAGGTCCTTTGAAATGTCGTTCTTTATGGGGACAGGGAGGGGGCAGTGCCTGAAAATGCCTCATTTTCAAGCAGGTTGTAAGCCAGGAAGCATTGCGTTCCCACTAACTTCACTCGCCTGCGTCTCGAACAGAAGGTGCAGATGCGGGGCTAATTTTGCCTGGCAAAGACATCATGAGTTCCACTCTTTGTGCACAGGGCACTATAGTTCATAACTGGAGTTTAAAACTGGACGTAAAAAAAAAAAAAGGACCAGATATTTAAATATTTTAATAAGCGAGTTTCAGGGCGGCACTTCGTAGCAGGTTTTCAGCTTAGTACCACATCCATCCATTTTCCCCATGTCTTTAAGAGCTTGAGAATGGTGCAGGAATGTGTATGTTTGTTTCTTTTCTCGGGAAACCAGAAGTGTGCTACAGAAAGCAAAGTGAACACAAAGCTCTCCCCCAGCAATGAGTTCACGAAGGAGGCTGTAAGATCCAAAGAGATGGATAAGTTGCTGTAGCCAAGAAACTGAGTGTGATTACAGAACGGGTAAAAAGACACACACATGACTGTTTTCAAAAGTCAAGATGAAAATCGAAAGTCAGACACTGCGTCAAAAGATATTGTGCATGATCACCTGAGCCCACACACACACGTGATAGAACTGCAGGGCCCTGAACACACACACACACACACACACACACACACACTCACACACACATTCACACACATTCACATTCACACACACTCAAACACACTCACATTCACACACACACATTCACACACTCAAACACACTCACATTCACACACTCAAACACACTCACATTCACACACACATTTACACACTCAAACACACTCACATTCACACACACATTCACACACTCAAACACACTCACATTCACACACACATTCACACACTCAAACACACTCACATTCACACACACACACACACACCCCTAGCATGCAGGAGTAAGATGATAACACTTAGGACCTATGAAGTTTTAGACTTTGAGAAGATGCCATCCTCAGGAGAAATGAGTAAAAGCATAGAACCTCCTGAAAATTTAAAGTTATCTCAAAGCTAAATATTTTAAAAGTATTTATTGGCATATAATATTTTTTCTCACGCAATGGATGAAAACACTGTCTTTCCAGTGTATCATACCTTTGATTACATTCATCTGCCATACCCTCCCACTTCTTCCAATTCTCCTTCCCTGTTAAAAAAAATTAAAACATATCCTATAAGAATTAATCTCTACATTTAAAAGGGTCAGTTTCATAAGGAATTATCACTATGTTTTATCTCTGAGTAATAAACTAAAAATCTATGCAAACATCTACATTTTCCTTGTTTGTGTTATTGTACTTCTATATAGAACTTGAGGTCTCAATATAGTTTCAGTATTTAATTAATTAGAAGTTCACAAGCAAAGAGTAGTGTCCCAGAAACGAGAAAACAAACATCAATTCCGATATGAGTTGACTTCCAGACTAGTAGAGAAAGTACATTGCAAATAGTTTTGTGGACAGTTTCGTCTGAAAGGGGCATACGTATAATTTTGAGGATGCTAAGACTATATTGGCTCATCGTTATAGTCATCAAAGTTACATAAAATTCTAAAGGGTGGTTTAGAGTGATTCATCAAGTAACGTAAAGATTCGAGTTTCAGAGAGAGAGAGGCAGACAGATAGAAACATGGAATGAAATCTCAAATCATGAACTTTGTCTTGAGAACACAGTTTGTGTTTCCATTCCGCAGCAAGCCTTCCAATAAGGCTTAGCTACGTTAAACTGCCTTAATTGAGTGTTTATTTGAGGCGAGAATGAGATGTTAAGGCTGTAATTTTATGCTGGTGTAAACTGAGGCACAATGGAATTGTTCTCCTCCCCTCCTCCCCGTCCGTGATCACCAATGGTTCCCACATCAAAGGGAACCTCAGATCTGAAGCTAGCATGTGACT